AAAACTGTGTAGATGCTGCTCCAGGTGCTCGCTCAAAACTCGGGCGCGAAGCTCGACATGGTCGCCCGAGCCGAAACCGCAGCGGTGACGGTGCTCCCAGAACGGCCCAAGTCACAGCAACATCCACGAATAAGTGCATTGGCCATGTGCCCAGGCGCCTGCGCGCGCGACGCGCATCGGAGACATCTGGCGCATCTCGAGCAACGCGGGGCCGTCATCAGACATCTCGAGGGCAGCGACATCCTGCAGCCACCGCCTGGCCCACGGATTCGACCTGGCACCTCCCTCCCCACTCACTTGATCGATGAGTATACCCCGTTGATCTTGCGCCCTGCACTCCCCGAGCGCCACTGGTAACTCCTGCGCACCTTCCACTGGATGAGCGAGCACAGACGGGAGCCACGCCAGCCGGCGCACTGGAAGCTCGAAAAGAACGGGTGCCATGCCGCACTTTGCAAGCGCCCCTAGATTGCTGAAGCTGCGCGCGCGGCCATCGATCTGCGCGGCGGCCCCGCGCGGCACCACGCGCCCACGACGCGCGAGAAAGCGTGCAAGCGGCGCCGCATCACTAGAAAGGAGCGGCCCATTTTGTCGCACCAAGCGTTCCGCTCCCGACATGACTCCGTTGAGCACATACTCCTTAAATACGATTGAGCGCTGCTGAAACATCGCGTGGCTTGTCCAGAACATCCCCATCCTGGCCAAGGCTGCCCCCCACGATAGAATGCGGCATGCAATCTCCACCCCCACTGCAAATCCAGCCGATGCCCTGAAGCCTACGCACCGCGAGTTAGCAAAACAATACGCCCAGGAAGATCATGTGACCTGAGAAGATGCCGTTCCCGCTCGTGCGCCCCCCATTTCCACGCATTATAAAAAAACGGTTCTTGCGCATCGATATCCAGCTTCATGCCCAATGCCCCCATTTCTCGAGAGATACGCTCATTAAGCTTGCAGCTCTCGCGTGGCCCCCTCGCTTGCGCTCGGGAACGGGAAGGCGTCAACCACGTCGTCAACAAGGAGCGCGAGAGCAGCCTGGACAACTTTCTGCCTATCGAAAAGGTCGGTGGCCGAGATCCACTTCCCAGCCTGCTTCTCGAGCTCCTGCATTAGCTTACACGCATGCGCGGCCACAAGAAGGAACGCCATCATGGGGCCACACGGAATGCCCCTTTCTCTCATCAGGAGAACCTCACCCTCGGGGCTGCCAGCGGAAACAGAATGCGAGAAACGAGTTCGATCAATCATTACTGGCACGTCCTTCATGCAAGACCCGAATCGCTGTCTTGACCAGGCTCGTCGTCGCGATATAGAACGCTTTCGCAGCATCGCGAAACCGTCGAGCGCGCGACACCCCGAGCCCGCGAAGCCTCCAAGCCGAGCGCGCTCGCACTACAATAGCTCCCTCCCGCCGCTAGCGTTCGCGAGCCCCGCGGGCCCGAGAGGGCAAGCCAGTGCCCGGGGCCCGATTCCAGACTCCGCAATAGAAAGCCTTTCCAAAAGAACAAACCATCATCACCACCATTTCTCCGCCACTCCCTCCCCGTCGTTCGCCTTGCCTATTTTTGCCGCCACTGCACTTGGCCAACTGATAGGGGGGGGGCCCTGCTACTCGCGAGCCGTCTCAAGGATGAGCAGCACGTACTCATAGAATGAAGGTGACATCAAGTTGGTCTCGCCCACCTCGAACGCTACGCCGCGACGCACCGGCGGCAGCCCGGGGCGCCGCCGCCCGGGGAACAAACCTCTGAGAAGCCCAATAATTCAGCTCCAAGGCGGAGTCGATTTCCAGAGATGTGCCTTCCAGATCGTTTTTTTCGCCCTGTCCAAATCCTCCTCCTTCTCCTTCTGAGACAACCAACTGCCTTGGCCATAAAATAATGCGCTCGCACTCCGCGCACAACGTGTCAATGTGCATGGTCTGGGCCGAGCGTCCCCCCCCTGGCAATGCCATATTGTCCTCCGCTCACTCCGTGCACCCTCCACCCTGATATTGCCGCACACCCTCGTCCTCCCTCCTCTCTTGCTCTGCGAAAGAAAATTATATGCCCGTCCCTCCTGCCCGCCGCCTCCTGAAACGCTTGACATCGATCCTCCCATACTTGCTCCCAGCTCTGCTCCTTGCGCAAACGTAGCCAGCGACTTATTCTTCTCAGCTCCAAAGACAACTGTCGCTCGCGCAATGACTGATCATCAGACATGCAAGCACAGTTGCCAATGATGCCGCGTCTCTTCTGCAACAGCTCTGCCACCTCACGAGAATATCTGGAATGATCCTCAGTGTACAAGGGGGAATGAAAGCAACGCGCTGCCGCCGCCGTTTGCAACGTGTCCATCTGCAATCTGTTAGCCTCCTCAGGTACTCGGTGGCGAGGTACTCTCGGCATCTCGGGGAGTCGGGCAGAGAGGTCTCGTTCAACTTGTGCGACGAATTCACTACGTTTGAATCGCCTTTGGCAGCATCATCGACATAGCGTCCTCCGACAACCTGGGTTTATGCTGTAGGGTTCAGCTGCAATCCCCATCGGTAACTCCACGCCCACAGGAACATGATCCCACACACGACGTTGGCAGTGAGCCTGGAGGCGTCTCGCGCACTTTCTGAGGGTTCTGCACCATCTCACCTCGTAACTCCACGGGTACGGCAATACGATATTGTCGAGCACCTTGGGCGAGCTTGTGCCGAAGCAGGTGTTGCCAGCGGGGGACATCGTGCTCGCGGCGCACAGCTCATGTGCCCTGCAGAGGGCTGCCAAACCTTCCGTCACGACATGCAACTGCCCATGTCCAAAGATACCTGCAACCCCCTCCGACGTCTCGAACTGCCCCCTTGCATCCGTCATGATGAGGGGCGCCAGTCGCGCCGATAGGTGTGGTACTACTCTTTCTTGCCAACGTAACATTGCATCAACTACCGCACATCACCCTTCGCCGTTCACCCCGACCCGCTGCAGGAGGGAACTGCGTCGCAACAGCTGCAACTCTCAGGGCACCACGTTCAAGATTGACACCTGCGCGTCTGCACCATTAATTCTTCAATGTCTGAAATGTCCCCTCCAAGTGCAATGGCATGAAAATCCGTCGTCTCAACCAGATCGTCAAACCATAACTCTTGTTGGCTACAGAACTTCTCGACCAACCAAAATCTAGATATCAGTGCTTGTCCACTCTCAGGGACACCTATATTGGCCGTCCTAACGATCTCCTCTGGGTACCGATTAGACAAGCGATATCGCAGTTGGCCGACTCAAAAATCACATCCGAAGCACGCTCCTTATTGGCGGACTGGGGATTGTACTGCACCAGCTTGAGACCGCGAGGGGCTGCCGATGCCAGTGCAGTGTCAGCAGGTGCCGCACTCTGCGCCATGCCACTGAGTCATCGCCCGAAGCCGCCCGCGCGTCTGAGAGGCCATCGCACGAGCCTTTTCCTCCTCCACCTCCTCCTCTTCCTCCCCCCTCGTCGTCGTCGTCCTCCTCCTCCTCCTCCTCCTCCTCCTCCTCCTCCTCCTCTACTTCCTCCTCCTCTACTTCCTCCTCCTCTACTTCCTCCTCTCCACTTCCTCCTCCTCCTCTGCTTCCTCCTCTACTTCCTCCTCCTCTACTTCCTCTTCCTCTACTTCCTCCTTCTCCTCCGCCTCCTCCTCCTCTATACTTCCTCCTCCTCCTCCTCCTCCTCCTCCCTCCTCCTCCTCTACTTCCTCCTCCTCCTCCTCCTCCTCCTCCTCTCTCTCCTCCTCCTCCTCCTCCTCCTCCTCCTCCTCCCGCCCCCCACGGCCGCCGCCCCCTGCGCATGGGGAGGCCACGCCTGGCCGGCCCCCGCCGCGCCGCCGGAGGTCGTCGTCACGCGCCTCACCCGCGCCGCGTGCTCCCGCAGCCACCCCGCCTCACCTCGGGCGGCACTCGCCACGGGGGGGGGAAGAGGAGGAGGAGGAGGCAGTAGAGGAGGAGGAGGAGGAGGAGGAGGAGGCAGTAGAGGAGGAGGAGGAGGAGGAGGAGGAGGAGGAGGAGGAGGAGGAGGAAGTAGAGGAGGAAGCAGAGGAGGAGGAGGAGGAGGAGGAGGAGGAGGAGGAAGACGAGGAGGAGAAGGAAGTAGAGGAGGAAGCAGAGGAGGAGGAGGAGGAGGAGGAAGAAGAGGAGGAGGAAGAAGAGGAGGAGGAGGAGGACGACGACGAGGGGGGAGGAAGAGGAGGAGGTGGAGGAGGAAAAGGAGGTGGAGGAGAAGCGCGCGGCACGCGACACGGGGGGGCGGGGCCACTCGAACGGGCCGTAGGGGAACGAACAATGACATAAACGTACTATCTCTCAGGTCCGCGCTGGTTTCTCGGATTGGCGCTGGGACCCCCTGGCGGCGCCAGAGGGGTGGGGGGGGCATAGTCGAACAAATCGTCCCCTGATCATTTTGGGGGTATTTTTGAATATCCCTCCTGTAGCGGGACATGCCCGGCTTAAGGCCAGGGCCAAAAACCCACACGCCCACAGCTCCGACGAGCTGCCGCCGCGCCGCTGTTCCGAGCGCGCCCCCAGCAGACCGAAGCCGGCACCGCAGCAAAAACCCACGGCAGGTCCATTGCGGCGCGAGGCGGTTTTTTTTGTTGCCCTGGTGCCCGCGGCGCCCTCCCCAGGACGCAAAAGGCCGCGCGTCGGAGCAAACGGCGCGGCGACGTGTGGCGTTTTGCCAGAAAAGATCCTGGCGCCTCGTCTCGATGCCAACCTCTGGGGGCCCGTGATCCCGCCCCGTGGCCATCCGAAGCAGAGCTGGGGCGCAGAAGTACCCACCGGGGTAAGGGGTCGGGGGCTCTGAGGCCGCGGATCCATAGACAAACACGTTCGGTGAGGATCGGGAAACACACACACACACACACACACACACACACACACACATCGGCGGATATCTGGGCCTTTACGTGCGACAGCCGCGCGCTGTTGTTCAGAGCGCAGGGCCAGTCGTCTCGGGGCCCGTCGTCAGGGGCTCGACGACGTCCGCTGTCTTTCGACTCGCGCCAAATCTTCATGGGGATCTCTGGGCATACCTCGATTCTGGATTGACATAGGATTGTGGATGCTACGACGATGGGCACTCTAACAGCCCTATTATTGAATTAAAAATGTGTTTGAAATGTGCCAAACATGGTCAAAACACTATTAAAACGTGCGTTGTATCAATATATTTACAGCATGGTTGAAAACATCTTGTATACATCTGGAAGCCATGTGGCAGCATGCTTCTTCTCCATTGATCGCCCTCCACAAACATAGGACCTGAGTTTACCTTGACCTATTTGGCCTGGTCCCCGCGAGCCGATAGGAGAAAAGTCGCCGAACCCTTGGGAAGCCAGGGGTGCCAGAAGCCCACACGCACGTGCGACTGGCAGAAGGCCCGGGAGCCCGAACTTCTCGGGGCCAAGAACATCGGTCAGGAGGAAGGGGATGGAGCCAAATCCGCTCAAAATCAATCCCCGGACCCCTCCTGGGGTCCAGTTGGTGGAGGTGATTTGTTTACCAAAAAACGACGACATGGGAGCGAAGAAAGCCTCTGAACGTTCCAGGTGCGCTGCGATGGACTAGACCACGCTCGGCGCCCCCGCCACCCCGACCGACGCAGAAGCCCCGGCCGACATGTCGGGAACGCCCAAAAAAAATATACAGTAGCGCTCATCGCTGCAGCTGCCCTCTCGCGGTCGAGGGGGTGTTGCCTCGCGCCTTCTGCGGCTGTGCGCTGCAACGGCGCTGCTCGCCATAGCGGGCAGTCAAAACGGAACAGCGGAGATGACCCTAAACCTTCCTCTGAGGCGGTCCTCTTGGGAGGGGGCCAGCATATGATCCCCCCCTCCTCAGCCCTTACAAACAAGCTGTAAGTTCCCGGGATAAACGAACGAGCGGTTCATATTGAGACACTTGCCCGACGGAAAAGCGCCAGACGAACTCGTCAAAGAAAGGCCTGCCTCGAAATTTAGCTAAGAGCGAGAGGTGCAGTGGGGAACGCTTCTGCGAGGCAGGCGAGGGGGGAAGGCGAGTGGAGACTAGCTACTGTGGCCGTTCGAGCTCGGGGGGGCGGACTGGCGGCAGCTTACTGCGCTGATAAAGATAACTGGGCGGCCTCATCATCAGCGGCGAACTCGTCCTCCGAAGCGTGCTCGAAAAGATTGTGCGCAATATCCTCTGCTGAAGCCGTGTGGTCTGCATCTGGCGCAAGTGGTGCTAGCATCGGTGCTGGTGTCGGGTGGCTCGAGCCTGGAAGTGCGTCTTCCGCTGTAAATACTACGCGCCGATATTCTTGAAGTGTTCCAGCCAGACTGAGATCTCTTCTTCCATCCAGCCCGCTGGGGCAGGGCCGACGTGGTGGCGAGCCTTCCCCTCGGCGCGGAGCCCGTCGATGACGAACTTGCGGGCTGGCCAGTCGTGCGCTCCCATGACCAGCTTGGCGACGTTCGGGTCGTGGGTTTTCTCTACTCGAATGAAGAGCACCTGATCCATGAGTGTTTCCACGTCGATGGTCGGGTCCCTGGCCCTTGGCCTCGTCTGCTGGTTGGCATTCCTCGAGATAGTCGTTGATATGCTGTTTCACGCGTCCTCCTACCTCGCAGGTGACCTAGCCCTCCAGCATCGCCAAGGCCAGTACTGGGGTCGGCGGGCCCAAGTGTTGGAGCACCTCCTTGTTATGTTCGGACTTGAACCCGTGGACCCGCTTGCGAAAGCCCTCCAACTCGTCGCTGATGTGGGTGAGAAGCGGATGGGTTACTGCCATCGTCCAGGTGTCGGCCACGGCGCACATGAGCAATCTGATCTTCTGGATGTTCTGTAGGGTGAGCGTCATCAGGGCCATGAGGAGAGCGTGCATGTTTTTGTCTTTGTTCGTCCAGCTCTTGTCCGTGTGGTGGCCTCTGTGGGCGCGTCGTCCGCCTCTGCGTCGGGCTCGGCGTGGTTCGTCGCCCTCCTCCTCCATCCCCATGGGCTCGTCGTCTGCGGCTGCCTGGCGTGCTGCTCCGCGCCCTTGCAGGCGTGGTCGTTGGGCTGGAGGTTCGCCGTCTTTGGAGCCGCTGCCAGAGCTGCCAGACTTGGTCGAGGGCGGTGGCGGGCCGCGCCAGGCTGCTCTCCCCTTCGATGGTTTGACCTGCGTCTCCTGGCTCGCGCTCGCCCCCCGGATCCGTTCTTGACAGTCCCGGGGCCCGAAAGCGGCCCCTGGAGACCGAAGGAGGCACACAGCCTTCCCGATCCCAGAACCTCGAACCTGCCCGCCCTTCCTGGTGGGCCTCCTGAAACCCTTAGCCGGCTCCAACGTGCGGCAGTGCGCTGTTGCTCCGTGCGCAGCCCCAGAGGTCACCGCGAGCCGATCGGAGAGAAGCCGTGAAGCCCTTGGGAAGCCAGGGCCAGATACCCACGCGTGCGTGCGACAACGTGCTTTTGCGCCGTGCGCGGCCCCAAGGAGGCCCCGACCCCCCCCCCCCCTGGGGGCAGCGGCCGCGATCGGGGAGAGAGGGAGGAGGAGGAGGAGGAGGAGGAGGAGGAGGAGGAGGAGGGAGGAGGAGGAGGAGGAGGAGGAGGTGGGAGGAGGAGGAGGGGAGGAGGAGAGGAGGAGGAGGAGGAGGTGGAGAGGAGGAGGAGGAGGGGGAGGAGGAAGGGGAGAAGGAGGAGGAGGAGGAGGAGGAGGGGCGAGGAGGAGGAGGAGGAGGAGGAGGAGGAGGAGGTAAGGAAGGTACAGGCGCCTGGGGGCCCCTGCCCAAGTCGAGGCTCGAACACCCCCTATAGGCCGCTGCCTGGGGATCTGTGCAGGCAGGGCCGAGCGCCGCCCTGGGGCGGTGCCCGGGCCGTGAGCGCAGGGAGAGCCCTGAGCCCCGAATCGGCAAGTCGGATCGGCGATCGACATGAATCGGCTCGGCAAAGACTCGCCGTCGCTCGGATCGAGACGGAGGAACCGAGATGAGCCCAGAGCGAGGAAACACACGGGGATGCGGAAAAGGAGACGCGGAACAAGCATACACGGGGATGCGGAACAGAGGGGATCCAAAACAAGTGTGCTTCTCTTCCGCATCCCTTGGTCCAGCTGTGTGTTATTGCCCCCATCCCGCTGTGCAGGACCAGTCAGCATTGACTCGGCGAATCGAAGCGAATCGGAGTGTGCGTCGGATATCGGGCCGCAGCGGCACGGGGTCGACATCCACCCGGATCGGCCGCGCCAGCATGCACAAACAACAGCGGCATGGAAGCACCAGGGCCGCAGCGGGTCGTCGGAATCTCGGGAGCAGATCGGATGCGGCCGGCTGGACTCGATCGCAGGTCGGATGGATCGGATCGACGTGGACCCTGGCTGCGTCTTTCCGCACCCCCCGCCACGCAGCGCATGACTGGGAACACTATGCCGCATGACTTGCTGTGGGCGTGAAGATGCATGCATGCATGTATGTTGTGCCGTCCGTGTAGCCGCCGAGGCTCGAACCTACAAGCCATTCGGCGTGGCCTAGAGCCAGGAAGAGGATACAACTGCGCTATCACAGCTTAGGAGCTTAGGATTCGGTAGGGCATGTCCTCCTACAGGCGGATTTGGGAAGAACAATAAAACAGCCAGTACATTAACAAAAATCACCAGAAGAGCACGAAAAATCGTCCCCTGACGATGTTCTGGCTATTCTTGAAACTTCCTCCTGTAGAAGGGCATGCCCGACGTGAGCTTAGGAATTCCTTGGTTGCATCTTGCCGTCCCTGGCGGCGCGCACGAGGGCGGGGCTCAAGCAATTCGGGCTCAAGTTTTTGGGCCTGCCTCTGGGCCTTCGCGAGGCGCTTGAGGTCTAGCCTCCCTACGGGAGGTGGCCGACACAGAGGCAATATTTCATTTATCGTCCAAGAGTGTTCAGCAGCGGCCATGGCGAACCGCTACTGGAGCAATGATTGGCGTCGCAACAAA